TGAGACCTTAAAAATGGAAGTGAAAGGCAGATGGGTCAGAGAGATGAGATACAAGAAAAAGGAAGATAAATCTGAAGTATGGGAAGGATTCAACCCGCTGCTGCTGGCTTTGAAGATGAGGAAGGAAATGGAGACCTCAGTTCCACAACAACAAGGACCTCAATTCTGCCAACAACCCCAAAGGAAAAAACAAAACAAAGCATTATCTCCACCTGAGCCTCCAGAGAGGAATGCATCCTTGTTGCTGAAGTCACCTTGATTCTAGCCCAGTGAGACTTGTGTCAGACATCTGGCATAGAGATGTATTAACTGTAAGATAAATTTGCCTTATTTTAAGCCACCACGCTTGTGGTAATTTGTTGCAGCAGCAATAGGAAACTAATACAACTCGTCAGTTCCTTTATTCAAGTTACTAACGAAATTCCTCTGATGCCTAGTCACAAAGGGAAGTGCACAAAATTGTCTGACTCTGGTCCTTTTCTTACATGGAAAACAAGCAAAAATGCATGCCATTCTGCAGACTATGAGGCGAATCTGGACTAACTGGTATTGAACATAGAGAAACGACCCAGGAGTGACGTACGTTCTCATTGTCTCCTACGCAGGTGTCATTAAAGAAATGAAAGGGTGAAGTGAAGGGCATGTTTATACCTGGTGAGAATCTCCAGATTTATGTGCAATAGCAATGACATACGGAATTGAGTTTCAGAATAAAGGTACTTTGCTAAACAAAAGAATATCCCCAGGTTGTTTTATTTTCTATCATGAGCAGTAATTTTCTAAAATTCAACTTCCTGTTCGATACATGGAGACACATAATAAAATGCTTTGTCCACGTTTTCAGTAGAAAATGTTAAGAATAAGACAAATGAGGCAAACGAAATGTATTTAAAACGTATTAAATGATGCAGAGTGATTCTCACAATTTCTTTCCTTTATTACTCTCTCTTAAGTTATATTGAGCCTCTGCGTTTTCCTTCCTTTGCTTGGCAAGCCTGTCTCAAGTTTTGTCTTTTCCCTTTTTTATTTTGATAATGTGTTGCCATCAGCCACCTCTAGCAGAGGGAGGCGGGAGTGTCAACTGGCTGTGTCCCCAGGGGCTGAGGTCTCCTGATTGGGAAGGTTGGCTGCCTCACCAGTGCCAGGCTCCAATAAAAAGCAGGGCCCTCTCCAAATGCGGGAGTGGAGGTGGGGGTGGGGCGGTGGAGGAAGGTAATGAAGTTATCTTCCTCCTAACACATGTGAGAGTTGGAACAAAAGTGTGCTAATGACTTCAAGTATTTGAGAAATTATCTTAACCTGCAGAAACAACTTGTGGAGAGCTAAGGAGACCTGGCCACAGGTCTCTGGCAGAAATCTCTCCTCTAGCCCATGGAAGGTACTCTGGTCAAAGCATTTTCATCATCCCCCATTGGTTTGACTTCCTCCTTAGGAATTGCCAAAGTCAACCTGCTTCAGGTCAGCCTTGCTCATGGCCTCCCAGACAGAGGCTTGGTCTATCTGTTTCCCAGGTCTAGCTAGCAGTGTTTGGTACATAGAAAATACTATGTGAACGTAAGTGAGTGAAAAGTCTGACATCTAAGGCAGAGTTCTTATCTTCTGCACATCTTTCCTCAACTATGAAAGAGTCTAAGCTTTGTAGTGATGACTGGATGAAGAAAGGGTTCCCCATTCCCCAACCTGATTGCAAGTTTCTAAAGGCAAGAATTATGTAATATTCCTCTTTCTCAATTTTAGCATTTAGCTGTGTTTTTTTCTTTCCTTCTTATTTAACAAACACTTTTTTTTAAAACCAGGCATTCTTCCAAAAATTTTACCAATAGCTAATTCAATCATCATGACAATCCTGTGAAGTAGGTATTACTGTTATCTCTATCTTACAGAAGAGGAGCAGAGGCTCAGAGAGCTCAAGTAAGTTGCCTAAAGTCACACAGCTAAAAGTGCAGCTGAGATTTCACCCTTACATGCTGGTTCCAGAGACAGTGCTCCCCACACTATACCCTCCTATGCTGCCTCATTTACCAGTGTTAGGTGAAATGATGTAGGGAAGCAAAAATTTAGTATCTCAGGGGAAAACTTAGAAGAATAGAATATTTGTACAATAGATATCCAAATGAATATTATGTTTCCAGATCCTTCATGCATAATTAATACACTACGAATGTTTACACTATGAAATGTGAAAAAATTTAGGCTGATTTGAATACCTAACTTAAAAGGATTCTGCTTCTTTACACCTAAAACTAATATCAATAAAAACATATCCTTGGGTAAGGAAATTTTTAAAAAGTTCAAAATTCAGTTATTCTGATAGGCAGTTGTAATAGTTTTCTAGGGCTACTGTGCCAAAGTACTACATACTGGGTAGCTTTAGTGACAGAAATGTATTGACTCACAGTTCGGGAGGCCAGAAATCCAAGATCAAGGTGTCAGCTGGGTTGATTTCATCTGGGGGCTGTGAGAGAAGAATCTGTTCCAGGCCTCTCTCCTTGGCTTGTAGATGGCTGGCTGTGTGTCTTAATATCATCTTCCCTCTATGTGTGTCTGTCTCTTTGTCCATTTTCCCCTTTTTAAAAGGACATTGATCACGCTGAATTAAAGCCCACCCTAATGATCTCATTTTAACTTGATTTCCTCTGTAAAGACCCTGTCTCCAAATAGTCACATTCTGAAGTACTGGGGGTTAAGACTCCCAACATATCTCTTTTTTTTGGGGGGGGGTACAATTTAATTCATAGCAGCAGTATAATGTAGGGGTAAGGGCCCAGGTCTGAATTCTAGCTGACATTTACTGATTCTGAGACCTCATTTCCTCATTTCCCCCCATTAAATGAAGATAAAACAGATAGTACCTGTCTCACGTGGTTGTGTGGGTTAAATGAATTAGTACATATAACACTTAAAATACTGAGTAGTACAATACATATTAGATATTCATTCATTTAACAAATAGTCATTGAACACCTACTAAGTGCTGGTCACTGGTCTAGATGTTTGAGATACAGAAGTAAACAAAATAGGCAACAATTCCTACCTTCATGGAGCTCATAATCTAGCGGGGAAAGAAAAACAATTTAAAAAGTAGAACATATAGAATGTCAGAACATATAGAATGTAAATGTGATTGAGAAAAAAAGGTTTGAGAGGAAGTGGAGAGTGTTGAGGTTTGCAATCTGAGATCAGAGAGAAACTCACTGAGGTGTCATTTGAGCAAAGGCCTAAAGAATGGGAGGAGACAGTTAAGCGGTTATCTAGAACTTTTCAGATATAAGGTTTCCCCACCTTGGTACTATGACATTTGGGAATGGATAATTCTTTGTTGGGGGGCGGTGGGGCTGCCCTGTACATTGTAGGATGTTTAGCAGCATCCCTGGCCACTACCCATTGGATGCTAGTAGTGGGTACCATCTACTATCTCTCAGTTGTGACCATCTGTCTGACATGCAAAGATGTCTCCAGACATTGCCACATGTCCAGTGGGGTGCAAAATAACTCCTGGTTGAGAAGCACTGAGCTAGAAATAAAGTGAA